CAAAAACAAGAAGCGGAAAGAAATGGGAGGCCAGAACAATGACAAGGTGGGCCTGGGGTGTCTCTGTCCACATCTCTGCACTCTGAGCAAATGCACGTCCATGAGGATAAATGTGTCTTATCAGAGACATGACAACAGCCTAAAAAGATTTGAAGAAAGGGTTTTGAAATGTTTCCATTGTGCTCTGCTTGCTGGCAGCAGAATCACTTTAGTTCTCTAGGGGTCTGTGCAGAATGTGCCCCCTGAGCCCTTTCTGCTTCCTCTGGGGTGACCTACCCCTGACTGTCATCTTTGTGTACCATTTGCCAGCTGGAGTATGTCTGTTTCAGGAGGTCGAGTGGGTAGATGGGCTGAAGGAATGTTCGTGCTCCTGCCATGAAGGGAGTAGCGATCTCAAGCTAAAGAAAAGCAAAAGGAGGACCTGCAGCCATTGTAGTAGTAAGGTTAGTGAACAGGCCAAGTTGGTGGAATGGTGAGTGGGAAGTAGAGTCCTGCCCAGAGCCCCTGTGGTGATGATCTGTTCAGCCTTGGGCCTCTCGTCTCCAAAATCATGTGTTGAGGAAGCATGTAAACCAGAAGATGACTAACGTTGTCTCTTCTTTGGAGCTCTGACTGCACCACAGCCTTTCCCTGTCTATCTCCAGCCCCTCCTTGCTATGCTAAATAGTGTTAATTTTATGTTCTTTTGATCTAAGAATAAGCTTTTTTTTAGTGGAGGACGCTTGTGTGGCCACTACATGAAAATAACTGTGCCTGTTCTTCATTGTAAAAAAGCTTCACCTTTCCAAATCACACAGAACCATGGAATGATTTGGGTTGAAGGGACCTTAAAGATCATCTAGATCCAACCCCCTGCATGGGCAGGGACACCTCCCAGCAGCCCAGGTTGCTCCAAGCCCCATCCAACCTGCCCTTGAACATTTCCAGGAATGGGGCAGCCACAGCTTCTCTGGACAACCTGGGCCAGGGTCTTACGACCTTTCCTGCTTGCAGAAGTGTGCTGGTCATTAATACCTGATTATGTCAATACCTCTGTATTTACTAATCAAGGTATCTCTAAACAACAGTCATTACCCACCTCAGTAATACCCAGGGTACCCCCATATGTAAAGTCAGAGACTTATTAATGTGAACATATTGTTGAACTGAGGCCTTGTTAGGGGCAAGAAATGGGAAGCAAAGCCTGAGGTGGTAGGTCTGGCTGGAGAGACCACATCTGTAATGGTAGGTGCTTGTCCATTGATTTGCAGGTGTGTGAAAATAAATTTTATAAAAATAGAGATTCTCAAGAGCTGACTGCAAGCCTTGTTCAACAAGAATCAAGTCCTCAGCCTGAAGGGAAGGATACTGGAATATCTAAGGAACCTGCAGAAGAAAGCCTGGAGAACAGAGATGAGGGAGAGGACGGCCAGAGCAAAGCAAAAGTTCTATCTAGAAAAGTGGACTCTCTGACTTCAGGTATGTGAGTCTTGAGTACAAACAGGTATGTTGTTCATCTCCTGACTGGTTCACACAAAAATAACTTTCTTGAGATAACAACTAATAATAATTCCTTTTTTTTCCTTGTTTTCTCTGGGTCCTCTAAATATGCAAATATCCATAGAATTCCCTTCAGAAAAAAGCTTTCCTGACCCAAGAAACATTCTCCCCTTTTCAGAATGATGAGGCCATTTAAGCTTCTCTTGCTAGTCTACTAATTCCATTTCCAATATTACCAGCCCATGATACTGTCTTTTTTTCCAGTTTTCATTTTAGCACCATCTCTCATGTGTCTTTAAATTATTTTCCTCACGTTACTTGTTTTTTCTTCAGTCTGGCACAGACAAGGAGAAATGTAATTATTACAGGATAAAGAGCCTGGCAGGGATCTCTTCTTTCAGTGAGCAAATCTCAGCTAATGCTGCTGTTGGGGACAGTGCACAGACTGGAGACTGGTTTAAATGGGATGCAACCTGATGTCTCAATTACAGAGATTTTGTAAAGAGGGACCCAAGAGCAGCAGTGTCTATTTTGCTTGATAACATTGTGCTGGGCAATGCACTGGAGCTTTTTCACCACTTCTTCACCCAGCAGCTTGTTGTAGTGACCCAGAGGGGTGAATTCTCTGCAGGGTGGGTTAACTGCAAAGCTGCCCCAAACTGTGTTCCCATTTACAGCTTTATTCTCTGGAATAATAGAAAAATATAAAGTAAAAAAAATAAATCTTAATAAGTAAATTACTGACTATTACAAAAGTTTTTCTTACTAACAGCCAGTCTAAAGTTGTTTGGGTTTCTTACCAGGATCTCAGCTGGAGGGAAGGATTGTCTCTGGCAGACACACAACTTCTGATGAAGCTGGGCTGCCTGATGACCAGGGTGAAGATGCAGGTGTTGGTGCTGTTGGGAGCACTGCAAAGGACAGTGACTCTGCTCCCATTGGCCCCAGATGGACACATCTACAAAAAGCTACTCTAAAACTACCTCAAGAAACCAAAGACTGCCCTTGCAGTGGGGAAAGTGAGTGTGAAGGACCAAACCAGCCCCATCAAGGAAATGCAGATGTTTCTCTTGAGCTGAGCAGAGACCTGCTGTCATCTTGTTCTGCTGCAGTAAAAGTTTCAACAGTTTCAAAAGTTTCTAGTTCCTCTTCTGGCAAGAGTTTCTGTCAGACTGAAGGGCTTCATTCTGATTCATCAGACAAGCTCACTGTCTTTGGTCATACCTCAAAATTGGGTGTGAAGGGATCTGAGGGACCACTTTTGTCTCTGGAAGGAAAACCTGAAGCCAAGCAGGGCTGGAGTACAATGAGTAGAAAAGCAACACTGGGTAAGAGCTGCAGGTCACAGTCCCCTAATAACTGTGTTTTGGAGACAGATGCTACAGGCTGCACTGGCAACTTTCCTGAGAGAATAAAGTCAAATGCAAACAACTGCTTCCAGGTGCATCAGCATTCTGAGCAGCTAGAGCACAGAGGAGTTCCTGCCTCCCTGGGGCAAAAGGAGGAGGAGCAGCAACAGCAGAGAGTTACAGAAGCAACTGTGTGTGCCAAGAACAGCAAAGTCAGCTCGACGGGCGAGAAGGTTGTCCTCTGGACCAGGTATATCTGCCTGAACTGCGTTTACATCCTTCATGCCTCCAGTATTTGGCTTCATGTTATAGAGTATCCTTTATTTTCATTTTGTATCCTCATTTTCTATCCCTTCCCTTTGGACACTCCTGCCTTGTGTCCACTAACCAGTCCAGCATAGCTGCCATCTTTCTCCTGTGAGAAACAGTCTGCTCCTGGGGCTGTATTTATTGTAGAACTTCAGGCTGGGAAAGGACTTTTTTTCTCCTACAAAAACCTTAAAAACAGGTTAAATGGAGCTCTGCTGAGACAGGTCTTACGATTTCGTGATGGTCGTAGTCGTGAAGGACCAAACCTGCTGGTCTTGCTCTGGGATTCTCACCTTCCCCTGGGAACAGGCCTCGGGTGGTTGAAGTGTGTCAATGCTTGTTCTCTTCCTCACTGTGATGCTGTTTTATAGGGAGGCTGACAGAGTCATCCTGACCACCTGTCAGGAGAAGGGAGCCCATCTGGAAACCTTCCAGGCCATCTCACAGAAACTGGGCAACAAGACTGCAAGCGAGGTGAGGGGTTGGTGTAGAAATCCTGGCTGGGACAGTCAGTGGTGGAGAGGGGGTAGGAGGGAAAGTGGAGATTTGCTGTCTGATTAGTCTCCCAAACTAAATTTGAACTTGATGATGTGTCAGAGAAAAATGATCCTAATTGCAAATAAACAGATCAAAACCAACACTGATCTGTCCTGCTGCAACCAAAACTCCTGACTGCCACCCATGGTGCTTTTTACACTGCCATTGATACTCAAGCAGAGTTGTTTGTGGCTGCTGCTTGGGTTGTCTTCAGCCTTCTACTTCAGTACAAGGAGTCTGTCTGGGCTTGGCTCTTAACCAGCCCCACATCACTGCCTTGGAGTCTTCCCAAACTGCTAGATTCTTACCTGCAAGTCAGTAGAACACAACTGTTCTTTCAAAGAAAACTCACCAACCTTGTGCTCTTCTTTCCATCTATAAATCTTGCATAAAATGTGATTTTTTTTTTTTAACCATAGAACAAATTACCCTGAACTTGGTAATATGAAATGTCCATGTCATAGCACCCTGTAGGTTTCCAGTCATCTTGCGTCTCCTCTGTTCTTCAGGTATCCCACAGGTTCAGAGAACTGATGAGGCTGTTTCATACATCCTGTGATGGGAGCTCTGAAGATGAGGAGGATGCAACTAGTACCAGTAATGCAGACCAGTTGTCAGATAAAGATCTGCTTTCTGAGGAAGAACCTGATGACTGAGGCTTAAGCTACTGACTGCAGCAGGAGAGGTGTTTGCCATTTTGCTGCTAGACAGGTGCTGTAGATAAAGGCAAAATGTTTGCACAGGTACTTAAGATAGAACCTTTTTTTTTTCTGTGTTCACTTTCCTGCTACACTTCTGACAAGCTGCACTTCTCAGTCTGTATCATATGAGAGGAATGAAGAAGAGTGTTAAGGTGACAACATTCTCCAGAACTTGCTTGAGCTTCAACAATGAAATGACCGAAGTGATGCTTGTGGACACAGACCTTGCTGGATGGGGCCACCAGCCTTTGAAACGAACATGTAAATATTGTATCATGTCTGTTTTGAGGGGGAACAAACACATGATTTTTATAAGTTTTCCCCTTGTTTTGATTGTACCTTGGAAAGTTACAACTGAATTCTGTATTTATTGTGTGGTCTTACACTAACAGGAGAGCATATTCACTTTGCAAAGTTTTAAAAAAAATCAAACCCAAACATACAAAACCAGCCCCCCAAAACAGCTTTCCTCCTTTCCAGCACAACTGCTGCAACTAGCTGGACAACTTAAGGCAGCCTTGGTAACAGGATTCTGCTGAACAGTGGCAGCTTGGCCATCTTCAAACCACCCCCTTTCTTTTGAAAGCAATCTTAGAGATCCCCTCTGTCTAATAATAAAAACGAGTTAGTCTGAGTCTCCTTCATCCTCAGATTCATCTGCTTCAAACCCTGTTTCATAGCACTGGGATAGAGTTCTTAGCTGCTCTAAGGCCTCCTGGAAGTCATCATGTTCCACTCCAGCAGAGAAGAAGCTGGCCCAGCGCTGTGTGTTCAGCTTCTGCAGGTCCTTGTATAGGCTGTAGAGGAGTGTGTGCAGGACTGGGGAAGCCTGCAGGGCTGCCAGAACAGGGATGCTTTCTACAGCTGCAGGGGAAAACACCAGTGTTTAAATATGCCCATTGAAACCTGCTCCCATACCCTATTTTACTTTACAAATAGTTGCTTTACCTGAGCTTTGTGTAACCTGAGTTGCTTAAGGAATTTTTGCCCTGCAGCCACTCAGAAAGGTCTTTTACCTCTGTTAGACCCCACATGATTTCTTTCTGATGCAAAGGAAGTGTTACCTGCTGAGGGATATCTGGGAGGTCTGTCCAGGAGAAAGCCTTCCCTGGTCAGAAGAGGAGAGAAAAACTGGGGGTAGGGAGGTTGGGTGTGACAGGGCTGCTCAAGCACAAGGGCTGTGCTGTAGGGAAGAAGAGGGGATGAAGTTACTCAACACTGTTGCCAGTTGCTGCTCCCTGTTCCAAACGCAGAGCCTGTTACCCACCTGAATGCCCCAGGAAACACAGTGTGCAGGTAATGCTGCAGGATTTGCTCTGTGCTCTCCCACATGGGGAGAAGAGACTCAGGCTGCTTTCCTGGGCAGCTGCTGCAAAGACAATCCATCATTTTCCAGGGAACTCATCTGAGTGTCAGTGACTTAGCTGCTCTCCAGCTGTTTGGCTTTCAAGTCAACAGCTCATGACTGTCTGCATCACCAGACTGTTCCCCCCCCATCCCCCCCTTCAGCTGACACTCCCCAGGGAAGGAGTGTGAATGACGTGTAAGGAACCAGTGTGCCAGTTCTAGAGGGAAAGGTTCAAACACTGATTACCTGAGGTGACTTTCTTTGCAAATTCCTCGTAGCACAACAGACTGAGCAAAACAGCAGCTGACCTTTTGCTCCCTGCATGAAGACAGAAGCTTCCAGGGCAGGTCCTGCTCGTAGGTGCACAAAGTATCAAAGAGTGAGCAGCCACGTAGGGCAGGAAAGGGAACAGAGGCCCAGGCAGCCACAACCTGTGGTCAGAGAGGGGGACACATCAGCAGAGAACACACAGCAGAGGTGGAGCTGGAAGGCTCAGAGCTGCTGCTTCTGCTTGTACCTTTCTCCCAGAGAAGTTAAGTGTCTCAGCAAGATGCATCATGGAGCCCTGGGAGGAGCTGAGCCGGTAGGGAGCGGTGAGGGTATCAAGTGCTGCTGCCAGGATTGCACTGCTGTGGTAGTTCAGTGATGCCTGGGGGAGGGAAACAAACGGAAAAGTTACAGGAAAAGTTAAATGAAGCCAGTGTTTCAGCAACATTTGTATATTTAAACTAAGCATTTTGTAAATTGCGCTTTTATCTAGGGTGTGCGTAACAGTTATTTCAGGTTTTGGACAAGCAAATCTGGTGGTTGCTACCAGATCACCCCAGGGCAGTTTTCTTGTCAGCAGCTTCTTCATGCTCAGCTGGGGCTGGAGTTTCACTCCACCCAGGGAGAACAACACAGCAAAGCAGTTTGTTTTTTTTTTCAGTGCCAAAACTGAAGGCAGTACACCAGAACAGAAAGACCTCAAAAAGGGAAATGTATTAAATCTTTTTAAGAGTATGAAAGATGAAGGGAATGGAAGGTTGGCAGTTAAGTCTCTGCTATCAGTGAAAAACCTGGAAAAAAATAATCTTTTCTGCTCAGCAGAACCCCCTTGTGAGAAAAATCTTGCTACCAATGCTTTCTGCAGCTGTGCATTTCTAAAGTGGTAAAAATTACAAAGCTGGAAGCCACCCAAGGCAGGTGTTTGTAGGTACATCACTGTCCAGTACATACATCATAGTTTATATATGGGAATGAAACAGGAGGTTGTGGCCTGATTCCCAGACTCCCACTGAGTGACAGGGGGCAAAAGAGGGAGCTGTGACTGGAGAGGTGGACAATTCCCAGGGCTGTGTTCATCAGTCTGTAAAAATTCTTCTGAGAATCCTGGGAGGAGAGAATCTAAATGTTAGAATGCAAAAAAACCCCATCTTCTCCACATGAAAGAAGCTCTTTGCTTTTGTATACTTACACCCACGTTACTTGTGACTGGAGTCAAGCCCCATGTCAAGATTCCTTTTCCAGAATACTCATCACAGAGCAGTTCTGTCACCTTGGCACCAACTCCAGAAAAACCATTGTGTAGGTCACATAGGACTTGAAATCCCTGTGTGAAATGATGGCAACATCTGAGATCCTACTTAACAAGAAAGTTTCATAGAATCACAGGGGTTGGAAGGGACCTCTGAAGACCATCAAGTCCAATCCCCCTGCTGCAGCAGGAAAACCTGGAGCAGATTACACAGGCATGTCCTGATGGGTCTTGAATATCTCCAGAAAGGGAGACTCCACAACCTCTCTGGCCAGCCTGTCCCAGGGTTCCGTCACCCTCACAGGAAAGAAGTTTCTCCTCATGTTGAGGTGGAACTTCTTTCTCGAAAGAAAACGGAGTTTGGACTAAGCTGTCAAACCTGCAGATAATCACACTCTTCAACATAGAAGTGCAACCGATCTTCCAGCTCCTCTAGGCAGCCAGGATCTTGCAGGAGACTTTCACCTTGTCCAAAGGCTTCCAGACAACCACAGTCCCTACAAAAATAAAAAAAAAAAAAAAAAAAAAAAAAAAGGTAGGGAGGGAAAAGAAGCTTATTCTCTCTCTTAAATTTTCCCTGAAGATCCCATTCTGGACAAGAGATCCTGAAGCAAACCTGTGGGACATACCCATCATGCATGTACTGAGGGATGACGTAGACACTTTTGGGATGCAAGTGCACATTGAGGTAATCAGACCAGACCTGCCTGCTGCTGCCCAAGAAAACATCCTGGGAAACAGTGAGTTGTGGAGGGGCAGGAGAAACACCTGGAATGAGACAGAGATGAATTGCAAAGGTCTTTTCAACTCCAAATATTCCCTCAAATAAAGAAAACAAAACCAGCTTTTATCTCATCCACTATTTGCTGCTCTTTGCCCAATCCTTCTGTAAGCAAAGAAACCCTGCCCTATAGTTTTCCTTCTTTCTTTGTGCTTGTTCACGCATCAGCTGTGCAGCACCAGCCTGCTGGCACAGGGCTTGTTCTTCCTCTCCAGAGCTCTCTGGTCCCAGCACGTAAGGTAAAGCTGCCAGGGTGGCACAAACTGGACAGAACACAAAAAAGTAATGCACAAAAGGAGGGAGAACTTCAACAAGGGCAAGTGTAGAGTTTTGCACCTGGGGAGGAACAGCCCCATGGATCAGCACAGGCTGGGGCTGACCTGCTGGGGAGCAGCTCTGGGGAGAAGGACCTCGGGGTCCTGGTGCATAACAGGCTGATCATGAGCAGCCATGTGCCCTGGTGGCCAAGAGGGCCAGTGCCATCCTGGGGCATAAAGAAGAGTGTGGCCAGCAGGTCATGGAGGTTCTCCTTCTGCTCTATCCTGCCCCTAGTGAGGCTACATCTGGAGAACTGTGTGTAGTTCTGGGCTCCCCAATTCATAAAGGATAAGGAACTACTGGAGAGAGTCCAGCACAAGGACACTAGGGTGATGAGGGGACTTGAGAATCTGCCATGTGAGGAAAGGGTGGACGAGCTGGGGCTGTTCAGCCTGGAGGCTAAAAGGGGAGTGATCTCATCAAGGCTGATCAGTATCTCCAGGGGGTGTCAGGAGGGTGGAACCAGGCTCTTCCCAGCAGTGCCCAGTGACAGGACCAGGGACAATGGGCACAAGCTGGAGCACGGGAAGGTCAAGTTAAACAGGAGAAGCTTCTTTCCTGTGACAGAACCCTGGGACAGGCTGCCCTGGGAGTCTGTGGAGTCTCCTTCTCTGAAGACATTCCAAAGCCATCTGGAAGTGTTCCTGTGGGATCTGCTGTAGATGATCCTGCTCTAGCAGGGAGTTTAGCTAGATGATCTCCAGAGTTCCCTTCCAACCCCGGCCACCGTCTGAATACACAAAAATCACCGAACATGCAGACGCACCTTGACCAGCAGAGCTGGGCCCTCCTGGTCGGTCTGAGGAAACACCTTCCTGGGGAAAGAGCCCCAGGGGGAGGTTACGTGACACTTCGCCTCGTCCCCCCCGCGAGTGGCGGGGCAGGGTTAGAGCAGATGAAGTGGCCGCGGGCAGTGACGGGCCCGGTGTCCCACGGGGTCGCGCCCCCC